GCTCCGGCCCCAACTCTTGGTGGCTGAAAAAAGGAAACGCCGCCGGGAGTAAGGGGCATTCCTGAAAGGAGGGGCGGAACAAGCCAGCTGGTGTGTGTGCATTATGGTATCATGTCTTTTGATGTTTTGGAAGGAGAATCCCTCAGGTACGTTCTCCTCCCCTGCTCTGCGCTGCCTCCCCTGCGTGTGTTTTCCTGCCCGTCTTATTGCTTCTCTTGGCTTGCACGGTGAATCACAACCCCGGGGATTCGCCTAGTGTAGCCTCTGCATTTGTAAATGCTCCTCTCGGCTGGTGTTGAAGAGCCTGGGAATGGGTTTGAGAATCACGGTCATTGCTTTCTTTTAAGATGCACAATGATAGACGCTTGCCTAGTTTGCACTCAACTTTCAGGGGGCTGTCTGCATAAGGACCAACAGGGCCGGGGCAAAAGAGCTGTTTTAGGATTTGATGGAGAGAGATTTGGAGGCAAGCGGCTAAGAAAAGTTGAGGGCTTCTACTAAGGGGTTAAAAGCCGAGATGTCATAGACTCGCCTGGTGTCACCCAAGTGTTTTTCCAGCTCAGCACCCAGTCTGGAGCTTTATCAATGGTCCTGCAGTTGTAGCGCTTTGATCAGTCCTTCCGGAAGAAAATCCTGCAGATTGACTTTCAGGAGATGAATTGCTTTAATTGTGTGCTTGGCTCTGTTTTACAACTGTTCTGAGGTGCTAGCGGAAGCAGTCTAGAAAAATATCCCTTTTCTCCAACGGCAGGAGTAAACTCTAACTTCTGCAATTACATCATCGATATACAAGTATAAGAGAGAGAAAGGCAGATATGGCAGCAATAGTAACACTGGCTGTCTTATACCTAGGCTGAGATGACAAAGCTTGAAGTCACTATTCCTTATTTGCCTGGTAAAGAGAAAGATGAATAGAGGTGGGTGAGTAACATGTATAAAGGTGGGTTTTTAAAAACGTACTGTACTTCTTTAATAAGCGAAGACTAGAGATTTAGCCTATTTGAGAATTAATAATAAGCGCAATACTTGTGACCTACACTATTTAAAACACCACGCTTTATCCAATAAATAGCATGCTCTTTTTGAAAAGATAGGTGAAAAAGGTAATAAAATAACTGTACATGCACTGAAATTGAATGAGCCTTGCTAGGAGGGGAGAATGAGAATGTTGGCTAAATTTTTATACATACTAAAATATTTAACCAGTGTTAAGGTGTTTTCTTCTCAGAAAGGGTTAATCTGAAGCTGTAGAACTCTGAACTTGAAATATTGTGGGTGGTACTTTCTTGTCATCTAAAAGTCCAAGTGGCCTGGGGGCATGGAGGTCTGAGGGACTTAAATGATACTTTGTGTATACTGTAAAGTAAATCACCTACTCATTCTTTTTAATTTAAACCCTATCTTTATCTAATGGCAGCAATCTGGAGTGCTGAGTTAGACCACACAAAATGAGGAAATTAATGGTTTTAAAAGTGCACACATTGCTGTCATAGTGAAAATGCTGAAATAAGATAAGGAACTACAGGCACTTCCGGGACCAATACAGTGATTTAGAAGATGGGCAAAGAGTTGAATTAATAATCAATAGTAGGGTGTGATAAACAGTCTGATTCTTCTGCTGATGCCCTGTCTGGAGAAGGCTATTAAATTTGTAGAGGAAACACTGTAACTTTGATATAATAGTAATTTTAGTGAATCCACTAACTGATGATCTTTGCAAACTAATGAATAAGCTTGTCTGAGTTCACTTAAAAGGGTATTTGAACCTCCTATTTGCAAAGTTACCTTTCAAAATTACAGTGGCATTCTGTTGGGAAATTCATTTCAGTAGAATTGCGAACTTAGATTTGAAGATGGATAGGCAAACGCAGGTTTAGTTCCTCACCTCCGATTATTACTTCCTGAACTTCTGTTCATTCGATTTGGAAACTTCTCTCAGAGATTGTGATTGCCATGTTGGGAAAAATCCGTGCGCGGGTGAATTCTGAGGTACATAGGAGCATGTGAGAGAAACCTAGAGGAGTCATTTTCCATGTAGGTATTCTTAGACAGGTAAACTGTTGGCCTCCCCATGGTCGCTCCCGGGGGCTCAAGTGAAAAACAAATGTTTTGAGAATGATGATGGCAACAGCTGTACAAATGTGCTTGACACAATGGATGGATGGATGGATAGATTGTGATAAGAATTGTACAAGCCCCCAATAAAATGATTTTTAAAAAAGAAAAAGAAAAAATAATAGGAAATCGTGAATTGTGTGATGCACAGCACTGCTTGCTTAGGAGTCCGTGGATCATTTATATAGATGGCAACTTAGAGGATTCCCTTTCCAAAGACAAATTAGACTGCCTAGGCATGTGTGTGAAGGAGTGGGGAGTGTGTGGGGGTCATTCAAGAAGGGAATGTTCTTGGATATCTTTGCCGCTATTGGGAAAACTTGTGGTCTTGAAGGTCAGTAGACTTTAGTCTGGTCACCCCTCTTCTCCCATGCCCCAGGCCGATCCATGGGTATGGGCCTACTCTGAAAATGCAGTGCCTGAAACTATATCATGAGTTGTCTGAATTATTCTGCCACCAGTGCATGTTGCTTTCAGTTTTAGCACCATGAGTGTCTGATCTTTTAATCCATTGTTTTAATCACCTAACGCCCCCCCCACAACCCCCCAACCCCCCCCACCTATTCTCAACTAACTTCTGATACATAGCAATTTTATAGGATTGCTGCCCAAAGAGTTTCCAAATCTGTAAATCTACAGGAAAGGAGTATGCGACCAGTTTTTCTCCCATAGATCCCCTGGCAGGTTCCAACCACAAAACTTTTGGTGCAAAGTCTGACTCTTTAATCTCAGTGGCACCAGGGCCCCTAAGTTTTGGCTACAAAAAGGACATTTTCCAGACATTGAAAATGTGCAAATTACTATCTTATCTATAAAAAATTTCCTACTTTTAGCTGGAATTTTAGAAGTGTTAAGTACATGGCAAATTTATTTCTAAAGCACACATTTATAAATAAGAAGACCCTTTATAGCTACACTATGGTTTATGCCTAATATTGATTTATGTGGTGACTTTAATTTATCAGTTAAGCCATAATTATAAATGGAAAAATGGAATTTTCATTTTTTCATTGTTCTTATAAATCTTTTCTGGATTTTCAATGGTCTGTTCTTGGATTTCTAAGCTATACTTTCCTTCCAGCATTAAAAAAAAAATCATGGATTTATTAATAGCTCCAGTTTGTAGCCTTTGAGCTAGCAGAAGGGTGAGCGCAGGCTCTGTAATCTCCACACAGATAATGGATCCCACAGCAGTGTTCTCACTCCACTTGTAGTCTTTTAAGGTATAGTTAGGAGGACAGAAATAAGTATTCTAACCTCAGGTTCACAAGTCTTCTAGAGAAGTGGAAATGAAGACACACGGAATCATTTCTTCTTCTCTTGTGAACAGTTTGCGGTCCAAGAGGCGTCCACGTTTCCCATGCATATCCTAGTTATTGCATAGGCGAGTCTCAACATCTAGGGATTACTATTCTCTCAATACTGTATAAGGCTTTATGGCAGTCTTCCTACCAAAGAGTTAAGAAAGCATTTTTGTGGAAATCTTGCTGGCCAGCAGGATATGACTCAACATAAATTGTAGTCAGGGTCTTTAAAATATATATTTTTTTAATCAGAAAGAAAGAGAAAGAACCCTTCTCTTCAAATGGTGTATGTCTCTCCTCCTAGACATATACAACTGCACCTCGATCTTGTCTTTCCTCCCCACAGCCAGTCTCCCTTGGCCGTAGTCTTGCAGTTAGGGTGAAACATACTTTGTTTGGCAGCCTGGTGGCTTTTAGGCATCTGGGTCCAATCTGTCTCCTTGATAGAGAAAAACGTTGAGGTTTATGCATTAAAAACTAGTTTTCTTCATGAGTTTTATATGTTGAGACAACTTACTCTCAGATTAGCTTTGCAGCGGTTCTCAACTTGCGGGTTGCAACCCCTTTTGGGGGTCGAATGCCCCTTTCACCAGGGTCGCCTAAGACCATTGGAAAACACACAAATATTTTACGATATATAATTACATATTGTTTTGTGATTAATCAATATGCTTTAATTATGTTTAATTATGTTCAATTTGTAACAACAAAAATATATCCTGCATGTCAGATACTTACATGATAATTCATAGCAGTAGCAAAATTACAGTTATGAAGTAGCAATGAAAATAGTTTTATGGTTGGGGGTCATCACAACATGAGGGTCATGGCATTAGGAAGGTTGAGAACCACTGTTTTACATGAATTTAAAGCCTGTCAGTAAGTGAGTGAGTGAATGAATGAATGAATGAATGAAGGCACAACTCTGAGACAGAGCTCATGATTTCTGTATTACAGGTGGGAAAACAAGAGGATTTGGACATGGTCCCTGGGGCACATTTCTGAGGGAGGCCCTGTTGGCATGGCCCTCGAGCATTTGAGAAATAGCAGATCGGCCTGGAAGCATGCCATCGTTAGTGACATGCAACTGACCAAACCTAAGCACTTGCTTTACCCATGAAAAACCTTTATCAAAACATGCCCATTAGATCAGATAGAAAACTGCTGTGCATATCCCAACTCCTTTTTGCTCTCTATAGAAGAAAGTACAGAAATTAGTCTCCAATTGACTGGGCCAACTTGCTCTGTCACTCTTTCTTTCTAAACTTTTGGTCTCGTGTCTATAAAGATAAGAGTATGATTAGATGCCCAGGAAGATCCTTTCTGGGCCACACACTCAAAGAATCTATAAAACCCATATATTGCACATTCTGTAGGGCCGATTCCAACCGAATTGTGGCCATGGGTTTAATAACTGGTCTGCATCTCCAGAGACACTAGAGACAATCTTCACTGTTGGTGTGTATTAATATTTAGCTGTCTGACCAATTGAAGAAATAGGGTTAATCCTTTTAAGGTTGAGTGGGAATGGAATGACCTCTTTTTCCTTCGTACAACCAGGCAATGCTAAGTATTTGCTTAGTCATCTTCTATTTAACTGCATAGTTTGTAGAAACTCTGGTATCTGTGAGTCAATGAGTCTTTCCCACAGCTTGAATAGTTATTGAAATGCTGCCTTTTTGTTACAAGAAAAAAACAAATGCTGTTTGGGTGCTTAGCCACCTCTT